TTTTTTCGAGGAAAAACGTCTAAAACGTACGAAATACTGTGCATAACTTTTCGTACGATTTCATACGAACTGATAATGAGAATATGTTGATTTATTTCCCTCTAATACAGATGGTGGCAACAGTACAGAGCCCCCTGGGTGTCGGGGTAAAAAAAAAAAAAAAGGAGGTGGAAATCCGTGGGCATGGATTAATAAACCGAGAGCACAGTTTCTTAATCTGCGAGCACGGATTGGAAAATCGTGCGCTCAGTTTATCAATCCATGCATATGGATTTCCACCGGCTTTTTTTTTTTTTACCCTGACACCCAGGGGGCTCTAATACTCTTAAGTGGAATATTCAAAATTATATATTAACAATTACTTGAGAACGAAAACACTGTGGTTAATTATGCATATCAATGCTGATGCAGGTTCTCAGTCATCCTGGTCATAGTAATTCCGTAAAAATTCAAAAAATGTCCACTGCAAGTCCAGTGAATATTTTTTTTTATTTTTACGGTATGCATATCAATATACTAACTTTAAAGATAATAAGTACAGAATTCAAGCAGAAATAGATCTTGTGTTTCATGGGGTAAAGAGAAAATTATGTCTCTGCAATGCATCTAGGAGTCTTCATTGAAATCATGTATAAATAACTATTTTAATAAAAACTTGTTAAATAATCAATTTATGTAGATATTAGTACTCATAAATATCCATTTTATGCAGAATGATTACTGATAAAAGTAGTCAAGTAATGACAATGGAAAAGATGTTCGAACAAAAGCTCAAACCTGGAGGAATTTTATCCACTATACCTTTTATCTAGAAAGCACGGATTTATGAATATATCCGTCTATTATTAGCAAAGACTGTGGGAAAATATAGTTTGTCTTTATTTAGAAAATATGGATGTTTTACTCATTATTTTTACTGTTGGAACATTGCAGATTTACCGAGAGGTGGTGCCTATCTGCTTACAGCCACCCCTTAGTGTACATTGATTATTGCCTGGCCACCCTTATAAAAATGTTCTGGCTTTGCCTCTGAGTGTTCATGTCACGTGTGGCATTTGCATGTAGATTCTGCTGACTTCGTCATCTTTCTTTTTTATAGAATTTTCTTTTTTAGGACACAACAAACTTACAATTTACCTATGCACACTAACACACTCACCGTTCAAACCTGCATTTGTTTAGTTCTAAAAAAAAAAGTTTTATGAGAATATTTTAAAAAGTTTGTAAAGGAAAACATCAACTGATTTTCTTAAAGTTTATACTGTAGTTTCTTATCTACATTACTCCTGGAATTGTTATCATAGGTTATCTGATGGTGGCTATTATTCAAGCAATTCTACCATCTCCAGATATCCTTTTTATTTAGGAATGCTCTGTTGGCAAATGTAAATGTTGGCAACTAGCCTCATCAGTGGCAGCGCTAGACTTTTAAAACAGGGATGGGAAGGAATTATTTGGCGGCTCAATATATAAAGGGTTTGTAATTACACTAAAAACAAGAATTATTTTCGGAAAAATGTATATTGATTAAATAAAAGATGTTTATTTTCCAAAATGTATACAACTATGTACTGTTAAATGTTTTATAAATGAAGTACACAGCAAAAATAGAAATAAACAAGTAGCCTACTAAATGTGCTCCTTGGACTAATCAAATCCAATAGTAAACAAAAACTTGAGGTAAATTTGGACCTGTCAAAACAAGGCAGGACAAGCAGCGGCGCACATTTAAATATGTACCACAGGAAGAGTAATAGAACAAAAAAGCAAAAAAAAAAAACAACATACGGCCCTTTGAAACTGACTATAGTTGACCACTGCCCAGTGGTAATGACAACACCAAGTTCACAAAAACAATAAGAACAGCAAAATTCTGCGGGTCTGGTGAGATATTTTACAAAGTCTTCCATATTTAGGGACTATGCCCTCCTTCACTCAACACTGAGCATGCCCAGATGACTTAATCTATCATCTGCCATTGTTGTCCTAAGGTTTTTTTTTTTATTATTAATTTAAGTGCAGAGAAACTTCTTTAGCGGGATGAAGTGCTAACTGGAATCAAAAGCCAAATTTTACTTAGCCTAAAAAGTTAATGGAAAACTCTTTGTAAGGTTCCAAAAACACAAAAACTCAAGTAGAAAAGCTGGCTTCCCTCCACTTGTCTCCCTTCTTAAAAGAAGCCCTCTCATTTGATGAAGCTCATGCTTAAGGTCTTCTAAGTCTGACTCAAATGTGTCAAACAGACACTGCTCTTTTAGGAATAATGGGCTTTTGGGGTCAAGAGACTGCACTCCTTCAATTATCTCAGTTCTTTTTGGAAAATCTATTTCTGCTTCAAAACAGTCAAGTACCTGATAGAAAATACTTCTATTGAACTCTTAACTATTTTCAAACTAACAGTGCCTCTGTCCAACAGTGCTCATAACAAGTAAGTCCAGAAATTTGGAATTGGTCTTTGGTCGTCTTTTGTTTTGTGCTTCAGTGACAATGTTGCAGTGGTGCACAAGTACTTCAGTCTCCGTCATAATTCACCAAATTTACTATCACTTCTGTAGCTTTTTAACATGTCTGTAAGGGAACCAACCAGATCTATTGCTCTAACCAGCTCAAAACTTCTGGATCGGAGCATGTCAGACAGGATTTTCACATCCCCAAACACTTTACTGAAAGTAAAGAAAAGTCCTATAAACTGTAGGTCAGTTTGGGTGAAAAGACAATTTTTCTATTATTTTCCTGGTTCCACTATTCTTCTCTTGTGAAATGTCTTGCCAGATCCTAGAAATGACTGGAAGCCTGTCTCCCATAGTTCTAAACGCCATGTACCTGCAAGCCTACCTACAGTAACATCTGAAAGTTGCTGAAGTGCCCTAGGCTTTTCATGTGGGTTCATTTCCTTTTGAGCATCAACCCACTTAATTTGACTGCAGAGCCAGGCATCAGACTAGTAATTGAAGTAGTAATACTCATAGGTAATACTAAGCACAAGCACTGTGGTGCAGCGTCTCCCTTACTTCCAATTAAAACAGCACTTTGTTTAATTTAGTACCAATAAATGTACACAACAGCAAAGGAAATGTGTTTCATTGATCCTGTGTGTCACTGTTCTGTTAGGGAGACGCTGCATGTCAGCTTAGCCAAGGAAAAGTTTAGGAGAAGCGTGCTGCATTAGGATGCATTCAAGTCTGCTGGGAAATTATTTCTGTTTTTTTTCGCAAATGTTCGTAAAATTCTAACAGTATAATGTTTTCAGCATGATGGCAACAGTGGTGGCAAGGATTTCTTCCCAACTAACCGTCTGGCTCCACCACGGGGCCTCACGTTATGCTAGAGATGCCATAACAAGGCAACTTAAAACAGAAACAAAGTGATTAAAACTAAATAAAACCAGGCCAACAACCAACTGGAATTAGAATAAACACATCAACGATTGTATGCCGGTCAAAGACCTGCAGAAAACATCTCAAAAAGAAAAGGTTTCCTTTCCTAAGGGCCTAAATTCCTAAGTGCCTAAGGAGGTGTCACATTGCAAGATAATAGTGCAGATTTATGTCCCGATCTTATGATTGGGGAGGTAATCTTACCTTATATGGTGCGTTATGACTGATCAGATCAGTCTCTCCCATCTTTAAACAGGGATATCCAACACGTTAGATTGTCTTGGCTGGATATTTCACCATGGTGTTTACCCAAAGTCAATCGAGCAAGCAACCTTCTATAAGGACATCCTTGCTATTGTCTCTTCATAATGAGTTCCCCAGAACATCTGCACTGGAGTACAGCTGCGTGACATTGCTTATATTTATTCATTTTTGTTTTTATGCAGCAGGAGAAAGAAAATCTTGAATCTAGACTGTATTCTCGACCATTTTAAACATACTTAAAATATGTCAGCTGTTCTACAAACTTTTGTTAGTTTGACTGTGAGAGGTTAAAAGATTAAATCCTTTCTTCTACCTATAACCCCACAGAATAACATAGTTTTGGACTGGAGTCCCGTGGAATTATTGAAAATGTAATCAATCGTATTGCTCTCTTGATAATCTAGTCTTTCTGTAAGGAGATGACATATCAACCACCTTCACCCTTGTCAAATTAGCTGAAATAAACAATAAAACACATGTAACATTTCTTTGAAAACAGGGCTGAAAGAAGCCTATATGCTCAGGAGCTGTTATGACTGCTGTGAAAAATAACAGCAGTTCATAAGTGTTGCATCCAAGCTCATTCAGTTTAGGATAACAAACCAAATAACCTTCTTCCCTGGAAGAACAGAGTAATGTTAATCATCCTTGATATATCAGCTAAAATGAATTATGAAACACATGGAAAATCTCTCTGTAAACAAAGTTGCTCCCTCAGAAAATCTTTTCCAGTTGGGGAGTGGTGGCCTAATGGTTAGGGCATTGTGCTTGGATCCCAGAGGTTCTGAGTTCAAGCCCCACTCCCACGGACTGCCACTCTGGTTCTATAAGCAAGACCCTTAACCCCCCACACTGCACCCTGGATGCTGCACAATGGCAGCCTACTGCTCCCCAACAGGATGGGTTAAATACAGAGAATGAATTTTATTGCTTTGTGCTTGTGACAGTGTAATGACAATAAAGTTGATCTATTCTTTAAAGGCGATGCCAATATAAACTCCCTTTTTCTCCTGGTTATTAATTATTTTCATTCTTTGGTGTATGTCTCTTGCCCCCCATTTGACAAAGAGTATTATCCTCCAGTGCAACAGAAACTGAACAGTGGTAGGTTCAGTGTAGTACAACTTAGTCCTATTTATTTTCTTGTCATCTTTCTCTGTATCTGTATCTTGGGCCATATATCAGATTTGCACATACATGGACTTAAATGTCTGCAAAACCTTTATTTGCAAAATAACTCAAACTAACTCAGAAGTATATGTGAATAGAATGGCTCAATTTTAGCAAAAGATTCTCAGAGAGATTTATGTCTTGACTTTGACGAGGTCATTACAGCTTACATGTCTCCAGTCAACTTCCTTGGGTATAATCAGTTTTATTTTAGTTCAGCATATAACAGCTTTCCTTCCTAAATTCTCCTGTGTTTCCAGTGCTCATGTGTAACAGTTAGCACTTTGCAGCTTCTCCAATAACAATTTACATTAATTACCAGAAAGCTATGGAAAACCCACTTAAAAAAAGGCATTTCATGGCATTTGAGAATGTGCTGTGTCACTGAGATCAGGTTAATAAACTGTGTCACTACACATTAAGAGCTTTATTAAAAAGCACACACACGAAACAAAATAGACTTATTTTTACATAAAGATTGAATATACAAGAATCAGCTCAGTACATTTTAACAAATATAAAAAACAAAATTCTATGAAGACTAGCAGGTAACATTTCTTTTGATATCAGGGCATGAGTTATACTGGATCAAGGAGATTTAGACAAAATTCTATAGCAGGACCATCACAAGAAAAAAAAGATCAGCGGGTATGGATTAGGGCTGAAACAATTACTCGGATTAATCATGACTAACCGATTATTGAAATGATCGTCAACTAATTTAGTAATCGATTTATCATTTTCTGGAGTATAGAGGCTGTAAAATACTCCTTTAGGTGACAGAGCAACCCACTTAGGGCAGCAATTAATCGATTAATTGGAAAAATAATCTAATATAATACCTAATCTATTTGTAAAATAATTGTTAGTTGCAGCCCCAGTATGGATTAAACTTTTTTTATAACATTGGTTAATATTTTCCCATGCTATCTTCTTCTTCAAACTTTATCTGAAAATGCGTCCCATAATCCCCAACTAACTAACTAACTAACTAACTAACTAACTAACTAACTAACTAACTAACTAACTAACTAACTAACTAACTAACTAACTAACTAACCAGGATTACACAGGGAGCTAACGATTTAAATACCGTAAGCCTTTTTTGAGTCATGTTCAAGCAGTTATTTTTAATTTTGCTTCACTTCCTTTTACAGTTTGTCACATTGCAGTCTTGGGTTGTGTACTTCATGCCACAAGAAATATAAATCTTTGGGGGGAAATTTGTGAATCAAAAGTAAATCCCTCATGTAGCAGGGATCATATTTATCAAAATTTTTTGAGGGAATGTACCATCCTAGTGTTTTCACACCCATATGAGACTTGGGCTCAAGTTTCACTGCAGCCAAACACATTCCCATGTAAACATCATCAATAGGAATAAATTGGACCTTTGCAGACATTTTGTAAATGACCAACGCTGTATAGCCTGATAAAAGGTATCCCCCACCTCCACAGTAGGGTGGGTATACATTTTTTTCATATACTACATGAGGAACATAATACTTGCTCCTTTGGTCTCTTTTAGGATATGATATTTTTAATAGATCTCCAATAAAAAGATGTTTGCTTCCATCATTATCTTTAAGGTGTTGAAGATAGTCGATCATGTTGTCCGTATGGGCAAATACGTCATCGTCACCATTTAGCAGGAAACGAGCCTGCGAACAACGACTCTCCATCCACTCAAGGAAGAGTATCTGCTTCAAAGTGAGGTTATAAAAGGAATCCTTAAAGTCCCACTGAAGAATGTCATTGTAATGCTGATGCTCCAGTGCAACAAGTTTGTTCAATTTCTCCTTCTCAAAACCCAAACCATCAGTTCCTATAATAAAGATTCGACGAATCATCTTTCCTTTGTATAATCTCTCTTTTGCCCATGTCTTGCGCAGAACCTCCCTGTGCTCATAATTTTTTGGGGAGCTTTTGATAACAAGCAAAAGAAAGACGTCCTCGGGTTCATCGTCTCGTCCGCATTTTTCAGGAAGGTCCAGTAATAAGGGGAAACTGCGACAGTGACGATAGTAGAGAAAGTCCTGAATCATTGGAGAAAAAGTGTCGAAGCCTGAGACATTTGCAATCGTTGTGTTTGGTTCACATCGTTGTGATTGATTAACTTTTATCCCTTTAAGTCGTTGTTTTAACAGCGAGTAGATTTTGTGCGAGGCATTTGGATTTTGTTCTGCATATGCAGCTCTTGGATAGTCGGTGTTGTTGAGGTCCAGGTATGAGACGTTTTGAGGATCATTGAAAAAAACAAGTAGTAACATGGCCACAAGAAGCAAAGAAGTCATGGCACAGATGTCTATTAGTCTCTGAAGTCTGAAATCAAAGAAACAAAGAAAAGAAAATGTCAACATATTTATATGTCATTTAAAAAGAGTTGCATAACTCTAAACACGAGTTAGAAAGATCAAGATTTATAAAACAAATCATTTCAAGGAAGATGTTTGCCTACATCTTTTTATTTATTAATCTGGCATTAAATCAGACTAAACTTTTTCTGTTTTAGGCTTGGTTGGATTGGAAGAACTATTTCTGTTTCTTACTGTAAGTACTTTTACAGTAACTTTTGTCAGATTCAAAAGATAAAACATAAAAAAAGGTAGTAATTTACTGAAAAAGTAGTTTTGGATAACAGCGGACTGATTGCGTATGGCTCCTGCGTCAATTCTGAAGCACTTGTAAAATTAGTTTCTACCTGAGAGAAGATTAGAAATCTCCTAAATAACTTGTACAAACGATTTAAAACGTATTTAGGAACGGTTCTTCCATAAGGCCCAATGTGTCTAAATAATAAGCTTCTTATTTTTATTCTTTACTTTATTATTTTAAAGATTCTACTGAAATAATCAAAGAAAAATGGGTATCACTTAAAAATTTTGCAGTCCAGCTTCACAGCACATTTAGGAACACTCTCATGGTTATTATTAAAGACTATTAAGTTTTGTTTTAAGTTAAGCTTTTCGGTTTAGTCAGAAGAAATATCTACGGTATATAATGATTACATTTAGGATCACATTACTTCTGCATTTTTCAGATAGCGGTTAAAAAAAGGAAGTTCGTTCTGATCATTAGAAACTTTAAACTAACTTCAAGCCGAAGGCATGTTAAACCCTTTATATATATATATATATATATATATATATATATATATATATATATATATATATAAAATTAGCAGTAAAACAATCTTTTCTAGCCTACAAATTGTTTCTAAACAACAGTTAAAACAGAACTTGAATATTTACCTGACCATGTTGGTAATAGATGTCCCTTCAAATAACCCTGTAGAGATTCTCATACAGCCTGCTTGTTGCACAGACAAGTCACTTGCAACGTTTGTTAAGACAGCCTCTGATGCTCTAGCTTTATGCACTTTGGCAACAGGAGAACCAACAGGAAGAGCAGGAAGAATAGTATCATCAAGGAAATCTTAGATGTATTGAATGCTTCAAATGTATTATGACTAGCATATTTTACTGGCATTGAAGATATGCTTTTTAAATCAGTGAGATGGTTATTGATCTTGATATTTCACGGAATAGCTGGAAGAACACAGCCGTCATCCTAAACTTACCGATAGCCTCAGTCAGACTGATGTTAAAGAAGTTTAATACAATTTTGACAAAGTGTAGCAGTTGCTACTGACTTGTCTGACTTGATTTTGAGATCTGTCAGCGGTGGAGGCTCTTGAAGTACATTTACGTCATTGCCAGTTTCAAAAAAATATTTTGAGATCAAGTATTAAATTTTTTTCGTCATGGTACACCAAAAAATGTATAGAGCAGAAGATGTGTATTCTTAACAGCACCATTCAGGTAAGCTTTGGTGTTAAAAAACTGTTTTAGTGGTACAAAGGAAAGCAAAACGTGCCAAGAAACTATCCCCCATACCATTACACCACCAGAGCTTCCCTGCATTGTTTACACAAGGCAGGGTGGATCCATGCTTTTATGTTGTTTTTGCTCAATTCTAAACTAACTATGAAAGCTGGAGCTGAAAGATTCCTAAAAAGAGACAATGTTCCTCCAGTTTGTTTTTGTACAATTTGAACCCCTTTACATGTTTGTCATAGTTTTCTGCTCTTGGCTAACAGGAGTGGCACCCAGTTTGTTCTTTTACTGCCTTAGCTCATCACATTTGTTATTTGCTCTGTGGTTGGAGATGGTATTCTGCACACCTTGGGTGCAATGAGGGGTTATTGAAGCTACTTTTGTCTCTCTGTCATATTGAGACATCCTCCTCCTCATCTAACCTCTGACATCAACCAGACAAATTTCATCGACAAAAAAATATCAATAATCTGATATTGTCTCTTTTCGTAACCAGTCTGTTACACCAGCTTCCTTCCAGGTTAGGTTATTTGGTTCTCTAAATTGCTGATGAAGGTTCTCAGTCATCCAGGTCATAGTCATTCCGTAAAAATTCAAAAAATATCCACTGGACTTGGTTTTCAGGATTTGAAGATGTTTCGCCACCTCTCCAGGAAGCTTTCTTAATTCAAATGTCTGGATCCGCAGTGAGTTAGAGTATTATATGGAAGGCCTTGTATTGCTTGGAATCATGCAAATGGTAACCGATGAATGGCTCGTTTAGTTCCATCGTTAGCCTGTAATATCTGAACCTGTCTATGATTCATCATTACCATTTGCATGTTTCCAAGCAATACAAGGCCTTGTCCATATAAGACTCTAACTCACTGCGGATCCAGACATTTGAATTGAGAAAGCTTCCTGGAGAGGTTGCGAAACGTCTTCAAATCTTGAAAACCAAGTCCAGTGGATATTTTTTGAATTTTTACGGAGGTTCTCTAAATTGCTCTTTGGTCTGTTGTTACCTGTTTGAATACTCAGCCTCTCTCCCCTTATTGCTGGAGATGGCTAGTCACTCTACACTTCCTTATCCTAACCTTGTGTGGATAAGTGGGTATAGATAATTTATGAATGGACCGTTCTCTAAAAACCTCAGTAATATTTTCAGATCCTTGTATATCAACAGTATGGGAAATACTGAGACCAGGCTGGCTGTCACCAACACATATGCCAAATTTAAAATCACTGAAAATGTCTTTCTTCCATGTTCATATGCTTGGTGTGAACTTTTGCAAATCATCTTTAACATGCCTAGATCGAGAAAAGATAGGAGTATGTAGCTTATTTATAGAGCCACAACAGTGGCTATAATTCGTTGGGCTACCTTACATCGTTGCTTTAGCCCATTGGTCTGGCATAGCATTTTGGACTAAGTGGAAATATAAGAGAATAGGCATTTTTTCCAAAGCAGGATGTTTAAAAACATTTTCTGTTTAATAAGGAAGACAATAATGCCTTTAGGGTATGGAAAAAAATGATCATAAGGTAGCTTGAATATAGGTGAAGCTATAAGTTAATGTAAATATAGTGCATTGTTATTTTCTTAATGTTTGAAGCAGTTAAAAATAGTGAACCAGACTTCTCTCAGCAGGATTAGAAAAAAATCAATGGGTCCATTGGGTTCAATTGAAGTGATTAACCTGAGGGTTAAAATCAATTGCATCATCCATCTCCTTCGAAGGGGTTCCTCTCCAAGGCTACTAAACATAGGGCAGAGACTCGCTCTCCTGGGAGTCGTTGCCGGATGAAAGGTTTGACTGGGAAATCCCCTTGAGGAAGGAGGCGGGAGAAACAAAAAAGAATCGTACCATATATGAGTTAAGCAAATAGAAATGTGTTTCCGGTTTGAGAGAGGAAAGAAGCAGCCCTTTGTCTTTTGTCCCTGCTGTTTGAGTGTCACTTCCTTCCAGGGACATGTGGCAGTGAAGCTGCAAAATGGCAGTGGCACTGTACAAATAAATCTTGTTTACAAACATTCTAATTCGCTATTACTGTAGTTCAGCAGTGAAGTGTAATTTTTTCAAAGAATACTAAAAATGAAAAACTCTTGTTTCAACAATGCAATTAGTTACATTCTTCTTCATCCAAATTAATGAAACACTTATTTTTTGACACCTACTTGAGGTTTCTTATTTCAGGATGTAACTTTATTCCCCCTCACTCATATTGGCCAAGCCACCTGTTTGTTATGCTGATGAATCACTTGTTTTGGTCACAGTCATTCTTTGATATAATGTTGCAGCACCAAGACTACATTTCCAACTTTATGCATACCAGCTTGTGACCACATAAATTTTTATTTATATACTTTGCAGCTACATGTAGAGTGCAAACCAAAAATACAATTTTCAGTAAGCCAATTACAAAATACAAAAAAACCCCATACAGATATACAGAAATATTAGCAAATATAATACATATTTTGTTTTCATCTGCTCAGATGGATCACCCTTTGCCATTGCATAATAACAAATTAAGGAAATACTTGGATATCTGTATGCATGTAATGCATTTAGATAAAACAAGATTTACTTTTTAATTGGATTACGAAAATACATTTACTGTTTTCCCTAGCACTCTAATGAGCATACAAAGTGCAAAAGATAACAAATTCTCTGCAGTAGAACTGAATGGAGATGTATGCGGAAATGAGGGTGTAACAAAAGCCGCCCTAGCCTCATAATCTTCTTTGTGTCACCTAATTTGTCTTATTGTATTTCACTGATCGTGTCATTTTCTGTTTTACTTCTGTATTGTCATGTCACTCTGTTTTGTGTCTTCCATGAAACAGGAATAAAACCATTTAAAAGAGACATAATTTGAACAGTGCAAGCTTTAAAGAGGATGAATTTGTCTGTTACACAAAGTTATTGTGTGTTTTGTAGGCTGTGATGGCCTACAAAATACACAATAACTTTTAGGTTTCGGTAATACTTCCTGTCTTGTATGTGTTCAAGCACCTTTTACAGAATCTGCAGCAGGGAAAACAATTCTCATTTCACACTTATGTGAACCCCTGTAGTGTTTAATTATATGACTTCTGTGCAAGTCAGAAATTGTCCAAAAACTACATCATGTTCACACATAAGGATGTCCATCAGTGCACTTGGTACCAGGACACCCTTGGCTGGAAGTTGGTGATTGACTTTTTAGCTGTATGTTCTCACGTTCAGCCACATTTCTTGGATGCTCAGATCAAGAGATGGGAGGCGCTCTCCACCAATCACCGCCTGGTGGTGCATTGCATACCCTGGAAAAGGAGGAATCTGGGTAGACTTGGCAGGCCCAAGCAAGTAGATATGGTCTGTTAAGCCGGGCACACACTGTACGATTTTTTTTGCACTTTCCGGGCCGATTCTCCAGTCGTGCAAAAATTTTTTGATCAGGCAGAGTTTCAGCCTGATTGTGCATTGTGTAGTGTACAGGGGGTAACAAGAGAAAATCAAACATGTTTGAAATTCAGTCGGCTGTTGTAAGGTGGTATTGGGCAAATCTCTCAGTGCACATGCTCAAACAAGGATTCTTTTTTGTCATTCTCTCAGATGAAAATGGAGTTCTTCCTGTAAAATTGACAGACTGTAGGAACCACATTTGCTCAGCCATGTCTTTGTCCAAATACATTGTCACCCTTTCTTTTTAGGGCTTTCAGCACAAAAAATTGCACAAATGGCAAAGGTAGCATGTTTTACTCTAGTAAGCTTAAATTATAACAAGAGGCATCAACACTTCCATCTTTTTCCTCTTCTACTCGTTTAGCTTCCGGATAGATGAGTCCGAGTAGTGCCATCTAACTGTGATTCTATGATTATAGAAGGAAATAATAAACTGGTGATAAGACATACAGACTTCTTATCTCAAAAATCCTTGAAAATACTAACCTTTCAGAGAATGTGCAATAAACTGTCTTTCATTACCCTTTTCATGTAAGCACAGCTCAGACAAAACACCTCACTAAACAATCCTATGTTTTCACCTGTTAGGTGTTCCTGCTTAGCTTTCAATATACAAATATTAGATTTTTATTTAGTTATTTAGTTCTATAGACACTGCATCTATCCTTGGAAAATCCGTGGAAATACTAACCTTTCAGAGAATGTGCAATAAACTGTCTTTCATTACCCTTTTCATGTAAGCACAGCTCAGACAAAACACCTCACTAAACAATCCTATGTTTTCACCTGTTAGGTGTTCCTGCTTAGCTTTCAATATACAAATATTAGATTTTTATTTAGTTCTATAGACACTGCATCTATGGGGGAGTGTTGGCCTCATGGTTAGAGCAGTGTGCTTGTGCTCTGAGAAGGTTGCAAGTACCTTTAATAAACTCCCACCTTCCTCCTGCTGATATTGCCTATGTGGGAAACAGCTAATGTTAATTCCCGTAACATACAATGTCTAGACATGATTCATTGATATTTTGGCTCATAGCATGTTTTATCTTGTTAATCATTTGTAAATAAAACCTGCAGAAAATGTTGTTCTGCTTTATTTACATAGCTCTATGATTCAAGTTCTTACAACAT